TTGGAAATCACCCCGTTCCCACCCCTTCTTGGGCTGAGTTGAGTTCAGTAGGCTGCCTTTGCATGTACAGCAGATCAATGGCAAGGTTTAAGAAAATCTTCCACATCCTATGCACTTTTCCATGAAATAAGAAGGGGCCATCAGACTAGAGAATGTGACCTGCAAAAGGAGAGCATCCCTATGGTGTTAAGGCGCAGGTCTCTTCATACTGCCAAGCATTTTAGTTAATAAATGCCTTAAGAAAGTTACTAAGACACTTCTTATACTTCCTAAAACTTTACCAGCAAGAGCAGACACAGCATTACAGCCCTGGGCATGACTTTCAGCCACAGCAAGGGAATGTAGCCCTGCACTGGGTTCCTTTGGGCTGCATTAATGAAGGCAAAAATGCCCAGAGACCAGCTCTGGGTGCTGTTGGGTACCCTCCACAAAGAGAGCAGCTCTGGCTGTAAGGATCCTAGCACGGGCTTTCTGCTGGCTGCCTCACTCATAGCTCCCCAGAGCCCAGAGGAGGACCTGCTTCCCACCAGGCTGCTGCACTGCATGGTCAGCACACAAGGGAGAGTGTAGCAAGATGAGCAGGGCAGCTGCAGTGTTGCATGCAGATATTCACAGATCTGCCTGCATTTCCTGCTTTTTCCAAGAATGACAGCGCAAAATAACAGCATCATAAATGTTTCAGCTGATTTCCAACCTGGGAGTGTGAAATGTGCTTGTGCCTCAATCACTACTATGGAAAACACCTTTCAGTTCTAACCAGCATTTCTGAGGACTTCCTGAGAGTTGCAGGTGGCACTCTGCCATCTTTAGGGATTTAAACACAAATAAGAACTGGTGTCACTGGTGAATGAGGATCATGGATCCTCATGAAAATAAAGTTGCTTGCAGGCATGTCACAGACTGGTGGTGACATCAGTCTCAAAGGTGGTGCTGGCCTCCTGCCATTGCCCAGAACAACAAAAGGCCAGCTTGGCAAGAAGCAGGGACATTGTGTGGATCTGTTTGTACAGCAAGCATGGTGCTGCAGATTGGGAAAACAAAATCTAGCACCATCTCAATACATTTCTTTATGCTTCCTGCGCTGAGGGTGGGACTAGGGCTGGGTTTAAAACAAAAAGGAGGAAAAAAAAAGATAAAGGTCAGTTGTGTTTAATGTCACATTTAACTCTGTGGGTGGCACCAAGTTTTTGTCTGTGCCTGCTTGTCTGTGCCCAGAAGCTGTGCATATATTCTTTTGCAATGGGAACCAGTATAGCAAAGCAGCTGCAACAGGCTTTTATTGCGATGCTGAAAGAGACCCCAGCACCTGCAGAGCACTCTTTCTTCCCATTCCCATACTTATTCAACTCACTGGGGCCTGCCATGGAAAAGAAGGATTCATGTAGTGCCTGTTGTCTGGTGAACACTGTGAAACCACTCCAGGTTTGACTGTCTGGGCACTGGATTCCTCCACAGAGAAACGGTGACAAAACCATTCTTGGAAATCTAGTGCTGTTCTAGGAAATGAGGAAAGTTCGTTGTAGTGATATCAAAGCATCAAATAATTCCTTCAGACATTCTTAATAAAGCCAGGTTTCAAAGTCAGGGTGCAATTTCAATGTTAAAAGGTAAAGCTTTCTGAATAATCCTGATATGTTTATGACCGAGCAGTTATGCCATCACAACAATGTTCTCCTTTAGCATCAACAGGAGCGTGCATGATGCCTTGAAGGATGAGGAGGGCAGAAAGGTCACAGTTTTAGAGCATTGTTCATTATTACATCTAATTTTGCTCATTTTATTAATAACTGATTTTCTCCCAATCCTCTCAGATGTCACCTTCATGTTTTGTCATAATTCTGTGAAGTTTTAAGCCTTCAGATTACAGATAGAAAAAACAGCAGACACAGTATTACAGATTGACTCTCCCTCTCTTCATGCAATTCAGTAACTTGGGCCAATTACACTGCTTGGGCTCTAGAAGTACTGGTAATTCTGTAATTTCTTCACAGAATTAGGTTCCCCTGTCTTCCCTGGTATTGGGCACCGATTCTCCATCCTGCATGTACCTAAAACACCCAGGGATTTAGCTAGAGGATATGAGATCAGGCTCTGCTGGTTTACAGAGGATAAAGAAATCTTCTCCTGCTGGGCCCCCAGCTGGCAGCATTTATGGCATCTATCCAGCTCTTCTGGCAAATCTATTGCTGTACCAGAAACAGAGCCCACCCCCTGCTCAGGACAAGCTGCAGTACAAGGCAGGACACAAAGGTACTTAGGTGTGAAGGACAGCACTTCACAGTGCCTTCGAGATTTGCATCCAGACTACTCATCAAAGGTGTCACACTCCATTTCACATTACATTTGAAAAGATGAAAGACTATATAAGCTCTGCTATGTGTCCAGATAAACAGGAAATTTAACCGTCCTATGTACGGGCGCATCTGATGCTTGTATTGTGTGATAAAATAAGCAGCATACAGTAGTGGAGGACTAACTTTTGCCTTCATGGGCTGTGCAAACAGCTGATGAATCTAAGAACCTAGCAAATACCTTTGTCTGAACTCATTCTTCTTCTCAGATGCCCTCCTCTGCCCATCCATGGGTGTTTCCATCTCTCATGCTGGCAAAAGATCCACAACTTTCATCCTAAGCAGCTTCTTATTTCCAGCCAGTTTCAGCCTCTGCTCTAGCTCATGGAGAACCTGCATCAGCACCTGAAATCTTGAGTCCTACCCTGTATGTTAACCTAGGGCAAGGAGGTACCTAATATTAACTGTCATTGTACCTTTACATCAGTAATGCAAAGCCACAGGGGGAGGGCCAGACCTGCCATTTTCAGAGTCCACATTTAGCAGTAGGATTTAATTTAAACTGATCCTTAATTCCATCATAAGACAAAGCCAGAAACTCAGGATTACACATAATCGAAATCAAATGTTCATCCACACCTCATTTTTTACCAGAACACAAATGTTTCAGATACAGACCAAGAACTCGGGTCATGCCAGACATTTTTTACCGATTTTAGAACTTTGTCAAATATATTGCAAGACTGAGTCCCCTAGTGACTTCTGAAGCCATTTATGTGTATGTAAAAGCCCATGGGTGAAATTTTTTGCTGCAATTCCCGTGCTAGTTCCACTGAGAGTCACCAAAGCGACTCAGGCAGAGTCCAGCCCAGATACTTCGACTCGGTAACATTTCTGTTGGTGTGGTTTAAACCCAGTCAGGTAACTCGTTCACTCACTTCCCCCCCTTCCTTCCCTCCCCCTACTCCCAGAGGGACGGAGAGGAGAATCAAAAGAATGTAACTCCCATGGGTTGAGATAAGAACAGTTTAGTAACTAAGGTATAACTCAAATCACTGCTGCTACCACCAATGATAATAATGATAAAGGAAATAACAAGGGAAGAGAATACAACACCTCAGCACCAGCCAACTGATAACTCGCCCCCCCCAGCACAACCGAGCTCTGACCAACACCTCCTCCAACCCCACAGTCTCCCAGCCCTTCCGGCTAACTCCCAGTTGCATCCTGGGCATGACGTGCTGTGGTATGGAATACCTCTTTGGTCAGTTTGGGTCAGGTGTCCTGTCTCTGCTTCCTCCTGGCTTCCCCTCCTCCCTGGCAGAGCATGAGGCTCACAAAGTCCTTGGCCAAACCAAAACATCATTGTTACCAGCTCTGTTCCCGAGCTGAAAGTCAAAACACAGCACTGCACCAGCTACCAAGGAGGAGAAAAATGACTGCTACTGCTGAACCCAGGACACTGTGCATAGGGAAAATGAAGGGGCAGAGACTGGGACACTGCCAGTCACATCTGCAGGACCCCCCTCACAGGCAGAGAGCAGAAGTTGTCCAGGGGTCTCTTCCCTTCCCCTCTATTTCAAAACATACCCAGAGGTACAATTCTGCTCCTGATTTCCATTACATTTAAACTGTCAGGTTTTTTGTATGAAGTGTTTTAGAGTCAGAGACCAAGTTTCCTGACTTGTAAGGTTTTTGTTCCATGAGCTGTCATCTAGATTGTTCACTGCCTAGCAGACTTGCGTTATTTCAGCCACATTATACTAAAGTTAACAATAAAAGTAAAGTTAAAAATAGGTGATAATACAGTCTGACAAGAACAGGCTTTCTATGGTTGGGCCATTAGCCTAGTATATATTTTGGTGCCCTGTAAATATTGGGGATGGCAGGTACACTTTTTTTTTTTAATAGTAAAAAGAGCGATGAATTTTAACTTACATTAATAAAAAAGGTTCAAACTGTTCTTTCGGTCATGGAAAAGTCCAGAAAATTATTTAAAGAGCACTATCAGCTTTAAACCTCTTCAGTGTTAAATAGCAACCCTGGTTTTGCAATTAGCTTTTCCAAGGAAGGGTTTTCATGGGCACCCACTCATACTGATTCTGTTATGGCACTGTGGTTTCAAAGCAAGAGAAATAGGGCAGAATTACAGGGGAAAATCCTGCTGAAAACAAAAATGCTTTGATTTGCTAGGAGTCAATACACTATCAGTTTCCTGCTGCAAACAGAAGGGATTGGATGTCTTAAATAAGATGTCACAGAGGCTCTATGCACTGAGAATATCAAATCCATAAATTAGCATCATATCAGAAATAATACATCTAGCTATCATAGGAGCTTTTCCCCATGAACCAGAGAGAGGAGAGTGCTTAGTCTCACAGAGGTTAACATCTGGAAAAGAATTCAAGTTACAAAATCCACAAATGACTGGCAGCCCACATTAAATTTGTTGTCTTGAATCAATTGAAAGTAGTATGGGGGATTCCACAAGGGATATTATCTTGTTTGGCCTTAAGCCACTCACTGGAAAATGTGCATATTGGAAGTGAAATCGAATTACATAGATTTGTCTTCTAAATATTCACCATATGTTCTCATAAAACTAAGTGACAGCCCTATCTATAAAATGAATTGTTTATTGTGTAGCTGTTTTCTTTAGGCTTTGCTTCAAATCCTTAGTAGAAAACATGAGATCTGTAAACATTTGAGTCATATACAAGATGTTAAAGGAGTTTATTCCAAATTTTTAGAAAGAAAACCTTTACAGCTTGAATGTTTACACATCAATCGCTCCTCTTTTTGTAATTACAATCATGCTCGTTGTAGTTTCAAGTCTTCTTCTCCAGTTTCAGCTTTTCTCTTTCTATCCTAAAACAACTTGTGCTGTCTCAGCTATTGTGGATAAGGTAGGTACCAGCCCAGAAGGGACCTCATCTCAGTCACCATTAATAAACTTGTAACACAGGAAAGTAACACAACCCTTCTGTAGTTAATAGCATCTGGTGTGGTCTATAGAAAGCTGACTAAACCAGCTGAGAATTAGAGCTGTACAGAACATATGCACAAAAGTTATCTAGTAAAATAATAGGAATGTTTTAGTAGTTCGAGCTGGACTGAGTAGCAACACAAAGAAAATAACTATAATGACTTTAACACCTTTGCTATATAAACCTAAAAGATGCTGTAGGGCCTTTGGGGGCGGAACATCAAAAAACCTAGGAAGAATTTCTATTGTGAGTAGGTTTGGGTTATGTCTAACACCAATTTCACTTGTAACCTGGTCTTCAGGTCCTGTTAAATGTTTTGCTTTGTTTACACAGGAAGTCTTGTGTGAGGGGAGAGATGAATGAAAAAGAAACTTGTTGAACTTAACAGTGCAGTGCCTTCCCAAAGCAGCCATCCAGAGTGCTACAGTATGTCCAGGCAGAAGTGAGGAACTGGCATCCCAGGACATGAACAAAGATGAGAGAGGCTGGACACAAAAGGAGTATAGGGGTTTGTGCTGCCAGGTAAGAGGTGTTCATGTCAATGAGCAGGTACCTCAGCCCTTCCTGCAAGTAACAGCTGGTAGAGGTACTGTACAACTCTGTGCAAAACCCCAGAATGCCACAGCTTTCCTTTCTGAAGCACTCCTAAAAGGCATTTATAGAGACTGGTTAGACACTAAATCCAAAATACAGGCTTTAGTGAAAATGAAAGGCAAATTTGTCTGTTAGATGTCAAACCACTGGGTATGAGGTCTGCAACCTCCAAGCTGCCTGAAAGCAAAGAGGGTTGTCACTCTCTGAACATAGCCCTCACTAGACCCTAAGGAAGTTTTCAGACATGCCTTGGGCAAAGCATGGGCAAGAGCCATGGATGGGGGAAAGAAACACTGTTCCTTCCCTACCACCTCCTGTTTTAAGTATAAGTAACAGAGACCAAGACCTTACAGGTCCCACTGCATGAGCTCAGTGTAGGGATGCATCTGTGCTTTGAGGGAAATGGTTTGTTTATAGGACTTGTAACCAACCTCTCAGCCAAGTTTACTTACTTCTCCTGATTGCAATATGTTGTACCTCTAGCTTGGCAATTTTTGCTGTTGTACTTTTTGTATTGCATGACTTCAGGCACTGTTCTTGGGATCTGTTTCTCTTCCAAGACCAAATAAGAGTTCTCAAGTGGAGGAAAGGTGTTTTTAAATAAAGGAGGTATTTTACACCTTAAAGGGACATTTTGCCTTCTTGCTCAGTCTGCAACCTATTTGCTGATATTTTTCTTCTCTTGTTCACAACATCACTGAGAAAGTTCCCAGAAAAACAACATGAGGCTCACTAAGAATGATGGCTTGTTGGGAACATTATCTCAAGAAGCAAACGATTGCCTACATTTCTGCTGCTTTCTTTAGCAGAGCTCAAGAGTTTCAAGGCGTCACAAACTACAACTTGCTCTTTCATGTGCTGTATTTTTAGATTCCCATGACGAATGCACACAACTCCACCAGGACTCACACTGTTCTTCCTTCTCATAATGTGTTTGTCATATAAACTCAGAGTAGCCTGAGGCCACATAGCTAGCAAACAAGAAGGTCAAGTTCCTTCTTCTAACTCTCAAAAGAATCACAAACATTTTTCATGTTTGACTGAAGAATACACGTTGTTATAGGACCTGCCTTAAATATAGTTTTGTTCTTTCTCTGACTTAAAAGATTGTTGATCTCACTTTATACACGTAGGGTCCACACGTTTGTTTTTGGCATATTGTTGTTGTAATATGTTTTACTTGGTACTTTCCGAAGAAAGTAACCCCCCAGAGCTTACAACTTTACAATAGTTTCGGGAGGGGTTTTTTATAGAAAAAAAAAACCAAACAACAAACAAGCTTTCATTGCAGGGTAACATTTTCAGTAGAGGTGAGATTACTTACCTTGGGACAGCTGAAACCTAGCATTATTTCTGCCATTTTCTAGGCAAAACATGTCTTAATAGTGCAGACCCGAGATGTCTTCATTGGTGTCCACATTATATAAGGAATTCATAACTTATCAAAGTCCTAGAAGCAAAGACCTGAAGTGAAAATAGCCATATCCATATGGCCTAAATCCATATTAAATTACACAATTTGCATGTTTTAAAGAATAAGAGGAAAAGACGTCCCAGCTCACCAGGCAGATATCAGCTCTGTTGCCTTGCATTACTTGATTTACCGTCCACCAAGATTGTCATGCAAAGTCTTTCCCAGATTTTTTTTTAATAGCTTTCTCTTTACAGCTACAACAGAAGAAGCTGCTGCTTTTCATGGAGTTCAGTAGGACCTTCCTGAGATCCTTCTTCCCACACACAGGCGTCTAGAACCAAAGAAAATGATGCTATACTTTCAGAAGAGATGAGTATGTGGTTCATACATAGTAGACAGAATCACAGAATCATAAGTCTACTTCTAAAGAAGTCTATCATGCTCCCTCTGCCATGTCTCTTTAGGCACAGGAATGTGCACAGAAACCTGCCACTGCCTGATTTTCATTTCAAGTCTCTCCTCATTCTCTTCTTAAGATTTATCACAAAAAGTACGATGCAGCACTACCTATGGTGCCATTATCAAAGGCTCTGATACAATAAGTACTTTCTGATCATCTGAGATCAATGAATGGATAAAACAATAAAAATACAAGAGTTACATGAATACCAAAGTGAAAACGACTAAGTAAAATTCTCAAGAGTGAAGGCTCATTTAGCAAAAGGAAATATCAAAATCTTGAGCAGAAAGTCAAGAATCAGCAGTCCAGTAAACTTAAGAAGCTTGCATGAACTTAAAGGCATGCTTTTTTTCAAGCCTTAGCCTGTGTGTTAAGCAGAAGTTTGTCTCCATAAGGTGCTACGTCAGGTCACTTGTTTTCCCAAGTTAGGCATCACTGTCAAGCCCTAAAATAATGCTAAGCCAGTCAGATTACATGGCAGAGATGTTGAGACCTGGTGACAGCCACAAAGGACAAATTGGTCTTCTGGAAATCATCTCAGCTTCCCACCTCCATCATTAGCTGCTTATCAAAACTGAGCTGACTATCCAACACTATTGAAAAACAAATGGATATTGTAAGCTGTCTCAAACACTGTGTGATAAAAACCAGTTCTAAAATATTTGCAATGATAAAATCATTCCTCAGAGGGGAAGCCATTCATTTTCTAGCCATGGAAACAGTTGTGAAGCTGTTTCCGTTTTGGATACAGGTTAGAAAGCTTTGGTCTTCTGAAGCTGCAAGGGGAGTAAGAATTTATTCATTGTTCCAAACGGTGCTAGAAGAGCTTATACTGATCATGCCAGATAGAGCTCATCTCCTAAGGAAAGTTTTGGTAACTGGATGATGATGAAGTCCTGAGAATTTCAAGTCCCTGACTTGGGAAACTGAAGAAAATAAATGGAGGAAGGATGAATCCAATCCCAGAAGAAGGCACCTCAATGACTTGTGAAGAGCTGAAAAAATGTTTATTTGATCTTCCTACCTCCTACATAATGAGGAGAGGTAGTCTTCGCTATTTGACCAGGGATGCAAGAATGATTCAACATGTCAAAGTTATCTCATGCAAGATTGAAAGGGACAGATGAGTCAAGACATTTTAGACTGGCTGTCCTGGGTTTAGCAGTAGTGTCCTGCTAAACCCAGGACACTGGCACACAGAGCAACAAGATCACCTAAAAAACTAGTAAATTTGTGTGCAGCCATATTTATTTTCAATTAAACCTCATTTTGGGTTCCCTCTGTTTTCCTTTGTGGAAAGAGTGAGAAAATCTCCAGTTCTGTAACAGACCAGGGACCTGCTCACTTCTGGAAATATCCCAGGAGGTGAACATTCTGTGGTGAAATGTTCTCAGCAACAGTGCTGCCTATATAGCAGAAGGTGCACAGGGACTACTCTAGCAAATTATTCATGGACAATAAATAATGTATAATGTGTCTCAAAGGCTAGGGAAGTGCACTCTGCAGTGCACACAACATTCCTATTCCAGAAGGCGTTTTTGTTTGGGTTAGTTTCCTTCTCATCATTAACTCTGTGGGTAAGCATGACCTTGCATAAGCCTGGGTTTGGGTTTTTTTTTCACATCTCATGTGACCATCTAATGCATCAGCTAAAAGAAAATAAATTTTTTTCTTAGTCTTGTTTTTATCAGGATTTATTATTACATTCATATTACCAGGTTAATTTGTTAGCTTTGTATCTACTTAGGTTTTCCTGAGGGTAATATCATCTCCAAACTACATTATCCTGTTAGGTTTAGTGGTAGTAATAGTGTTTCCAATGTCAGTTACAGAAAAGGTTCTGTAGCAGCAAGTACTGCATCAGCCTCCTGTGAAATATACTCCCCATCCTTGGGAGCTCATAAACTAGGTTATGATAAGTTGCAGCTGGCTGATGAGGTAACAAGCGAGAAGATATCATGTCCTAATTAAAGGAGTTGGCTTGCTTTCTACTTGGCTACTGTAGTAAAGGGAGTTACTTGGAAAGCTGCTTGTCTTCCTACCTCATGGCTGAATAACGTTTATTAATCACCACTGATTTCTCAGTGTACTTCTCCCCTGGGAGAAACAGGGGAGGATCTTTCTCTTTCCCTTTTACTATGTGATTTGCAGCCTGGATGACTCAGGGTAAGCTGTGCCATTTCCTCTCCTTTCTTTCCAGATGTTGTGTTTACCACACCTTGGACTGCTCTGCAGAACAGCCTAATCTTCCCCAGTAACTATTCAGAAACAACCTAAAATAAACTAATGGGTACTTTTGCCCAAGATTCCCAAGACCTATTTCACTCTTCTGATCTCTTGGACAAAAGCAGTTGGGAAATAAGGTAATGTAGTTCATATACTCTTTCAGAGGGCCAAGCAAACTTACTTTGAAGATGTAACTGTCATGTAAAGATTTATTTCCAGAAGAAAGTCTCTGGGGTAGTTCCTATCCAATTTCCCATTTCTTTAAGGCTCTTCTTCTAATGGAGGTTTAGATCAGATATTAGGAAAAAATCTTCACCAAAAGGGTTATCAAGCACTGAAACAGGCTGCCCATGGAAGTGGTTGAGTCACCATCCTTGGAGGTTTAAGATGTATAAACACAGCACTTAGGGACATGGTATAGTGGTGAAATTGTCAGTGTTAGGTTTATGGTTGAACCCAATAATCTTAAAGGTCTTTTCCAACCCAAACAATTCTATGATGCTATGATTCGGAAATACATAGTTTTCAAAGTCAGGATTTATTTTGCTTTTCTTTTTATTTAGTACGTCTCTGTAAAGAAGTGGGAGGAGAAAAACAATACAATTTAAAAAAAAAACTTTTTGAATATTTTCTCTAGTTCTAGAATCTTGATAACTTTAAAGTCTTGGCACAAATACTTGAACAGTGTCTGACTATTCTCTGGAATTAAAATTCTAACCATTAACAGAGCAGATTTATGATTATGAATTCTAAAATATGCTTAAACCAAAATTCATAGATGCTGGTGATTCACCTAGTGAAGATGTGGCTGCAATAATATATGAGCAATAGAGCTGAACAAACACAGTACATATTTTCAGTCTGAGAGTTAATCATTTGAATGATCCTGTTTAGGCATTAGGTAGATAGAATTTAAAGATAACACGAGAAATCTTCCATGTAAATACACTGAAAATGAAAAGTTCTTTAGCAAAAAAAGTGACTTGGTTTGATTAAATCCGTAATAATTTACTATTACTGAGTTATCATACTGTACACATCTGTACGCAGCTGTACTCATCTGGGGTGTTTTCAAGTTTTCAGATTTGTCTAATTTGAATGCTTTAAAAATCTCATCTTGCTGTAGGGCACACATGCAATTAATGACACTATCATATTCTCATGCTATCATTACAAACTCCGTTTTCCAAATTACTCTCAAATTGACCTACTTTATGCTTCAAACCAGTTCCTTAGGAAAAGATGGAAGTAATTGGCATGACTGACAAGTATCAAATGTAGTTGAAGACAAGAGCATAGGAAATGCTGAAAGGAAGTTTCTCTTTACATTAGAACAATGAAGTGCTCCAGGTACTTTGCTGGAACTGCACTAGGAGAGAATATTCTCTGGGACAGTTAGAAGGACAAATAATTGGTAGATCACTGTAACTAAAAACTATCAACTGAAAATCAGACAATGACCGATAAAGATATGTTATATAATGCTTTTCCTGGGTTAAGAAGATCTATTGCTCTTCCAATCTATATAAAAGTAGATAGCTCCTACTTTGTTAGCTCTCCCTGGTAGCTTAGCAGGTGGAAAAAGCTACATTCGCAGTTTTCAGAAACAGCTTCATATAAGACTGAATTACAGCAACCTTCCTCAGAATTGTACAAAGCAAGAATTATAATAAGGATCAAATTTGGTCAAGCACAGACATCACTAAGAACAATTTCATTTCCACCTTATGTCTAAGCATTCACCAAGGACAGACATTCCAGCAGAACCTCTGAACTGCAAGAGAGAGCAAGTTTATTTAGTGAAAGCAGCTGAGAAAATTTCCTCTCTTCCCTGCATCCTACTCTCAGCCAAACCTCAGTTTCATGTTAGTCTTTGTTTCAGCTGGCCCCAAGTTCATTCTTACTCCACTAACTAGACGAAAAGAAGACCAAGAGGCAAACGCTGCCTCAGGAGCTCATCAAACTGTTGGTTCGTTGAACAGAAATAGTGAAAAGGTTAAAGGTGAGGACATTCCACACAGTTCTTGGCCTTGCTCTACCTTCCAGCTTTCTGCATAGAAGAAAGCCTTGGCATGGCAGAAATGAAACCTCCTCCCTCATTCTCCCAATTAGACTTTTCTCTCTTCTTTGACTCACTGTTGTGGTTTTAAATTCCAGCTGTGCCTTCAGGCTCTAGCATCATACCTACTCATTAAAAAGTGCAGTCATCTTAAAATCATCTTCTGCAGATGTAAAGCTGTGACTAAATAACCTCTCATTTAGTTTAGCATTCCCATCTTCTCAGTGACTTGGCAGTGCTATAAGGAACTGCTGCTGTAAGTCCTCGATCAAACACTCTGAAAATACTCATACCATAGAACCACAGAATCATAGAACAGTTAGAGTTGGAATATGCCCCAGTATTGTTTATTTTGTCCTTCCCTGTTTGTTCCATGGAAAGCTGTCATAACACCACTGCCATACCAAACTCACCTGGAAGATTTAACATACTGCATGATAAACAAGCAGCAACCAGCAAAATCATGAATCTGGAAAGCGTTTTCTCACAATAGTGAGCAGCTATTCAAGAGCTGAAAACACTGGGATGATTCATGTGAGTCAGTCACTGCTCAGTAATGCCAGTAAAGATCTCGCAATTTCATCAGATCTCATGGAGGCCATTGCTTATAGAAGACATCCAGCCCTTGATGCATGAGGTCTGTGATGGTGTTAAAGAGCTGACGTATGCACTGCAGAGAAGGGCCGGTCACAGACAGATAAACCATCTTATCCGATGTGACAAAATCCCAAGTGTTCTTCAGCAACTGCCAGATGTTGGCAGTTCTCTGTTCAGAAGATGAAAGGGCTAAGAAGACATGCATATTGTAGATGATAAGAGGATGTGACTGTGACCCTTGGGCCTGACAGCTGATATTAGGTTGTTCATGTGCCTCTGCTACCCCCAGTACATCGCTCTCCATAGGGCCTAATGACACGTCCTCTTAGTTTTCACACTCCTATAGCAAATTTAACTTGGCATGCAATATACAGGGAAGTAACACACTAGTACGAGAATGAGCTTGTACCTGGGGAATGTCAGGATTTTAAATCAAAGGGTTTTTTTCTTTTTTTTTTGTTGTTGCAGCAGCAGCTAGGAGTATGAAACGATCTGTTGAACATCAGGGGGAGTAGAATACTAGCAGGACATGGCCTCCTATCATAGCTTTCATCATATGCTCATCCAGGTCAACAACATAGAAACAAACCATTTCCCTTACAGCAGAGAGGGAACACACAAAAACTGTGATTGAGTCCTGACTGGTAGACTTCTCTCTGCCCTTTCACTATTTGCATGTGCACAACTGGCTCTGTGAATTTATTTTATGTCTATGTATGGGATCAAGCATGATATACAGCAGCAAAAAAATAAGCCATGAGTTTCCTGGAGTTCTTCCTGTCGCACTGACGGTTGTTGATTTGAAACTTGAATCATTAGGCTCATGAATTTAAACTATTTGAATGCTGATTCTCCTCAAGATAGGCAGTTGGGAATACACAAGGGTCTGTTTCCTCCTTAAATGTGATGGCTGAAGAATAAAGAAAATACAGCTTCATTTCTCAGTCTTACAGCTATATTGGTCCTCTACTTTGTATGTCTTAGGGTAAAAAAATATTAAATAAGATTCATCTGAATTTCACTGAAAGGACTTCTTGTTCTGTTTGTCATAAAGATGTGGGACCGTGTAAGGATGCTACATTGCCCTTGAGGATGCTCAGTAGGGTAAAGGGAAACACCCTGACTAAGCTTTACCTGTTTTTATGAAGTAATTAACATTTCCATCATGTGCCGACCTAAAATTTTCACAGGTACTACTAGCATCAGTTAATACCCTATAATTCAAGAAATAACAATTGTTGAGTTATTGGAGATTAAAATTCTAAATTCATACTGAAATTTTGTGCACTTTACATTATTGGTCATAGCCAAGAGTGTTTTTATGAAATATGTATCTGTATGTAAATATGGAAATTCATTATAAAAGATGAAGTCTATTTCTCCTGGAAGGTCTGACAGAATATTGGAAATACTGGATACCATTTTGAACCCTGAAGCAAACTGGATCAAAGGAATGTTCTTACTGGACATTTCCTTCCTCCTTTACATCCCATTTAATCTGTCTTTGTACTTCCTTGGAAAAAAATTACCCTAAAACTAAAAGCTTATCATTTAATTTCTAAAATGAAATGAATCAACATAATGATACTATTGTGGCTCCACTGTCCCGTGCTTCTCATTGCCTAAGTGGTAGATGATCTTATTTGCTATTTGTGAGCCAGTAAACCCACTTAGGCAGCTATGATATAGGTAATTCCCTTTAGTATACAGCATTCTTTTTCTAACTTTTTTTTAAGCACTGTTTTACAAAGGAAATCAGTGTACATTATGTGTGGGGAAAGTCCCTTTGTGCCACTCCCTTTGCAGAAAGGGACAAACTGGAATTTCAAGACAACTTGGACTACATTTGCATTTTAAAACAAACTTTGGATTTTACTTCATGAGCTTCCTTTTTTCTTTTGCCTAACAAACACATGAAGAATGCTGACCTCCCATCGTTCAGTTACAAGGCTACCTCACCAAACAGTCCAGCTACGGCCTACAAATTTTAAACATACCTTTCCTAGTTACTCAGAGATGGGGTTCTGATAAGATATCTGCAAACCAACGCTTTTAACTCATCAGTTGTTACCTTAGTCCTCAAATGGTTGGGACAAAGTTTCTATGCATAACTAAAAAAGACATGGAGGATTCACTTCGGTTCCTCCCCTCAGCGGCTGTGTCACGAGTACGGTGAGGACACCACACATGCTGTAAAACAGAGGACCTCAAGGAGACAGAAGTTGCTGTGCTTCACCTTCCAAGGACAGAGAAAGGGTGACGAGAACAGTACCTAACCCCAAAGGGGTACAATGGGAGGCTGGAGTCTGCCCTTCATTTGTAGTTGTAGTTCCTGCTGTAACATGGGAGGTAACACCATGTCTTATGTCATGAGTGACCGAGGTGCATCAGTGTATTGAATATGCTTGTACACTGACTTGGTGGAACTACTCACCATGCAACACTGATGTGAGAGCAAAAATAACCCATCTGGTGCTCAAGGTGTCCAGGGTGCCAAAGTGCTGTCTCTGAACCAATAGATTAGCCCCTGATCATGTCTTATTGATTCTTGCATGCATCAGTTAATTTTTTCTGTAAGACAGAGATACATTTTACAAGATAGATGAGAAAATGAGCACTCCTCCTGCAGCAAAATCTTTTCTCTCCAGGACAAAATGAACAGGAAATCCATTTCATGTCAGGGAAACAGGAACTGGCATGGCTCAAATGTGGACAAATGCATCTTAACTCCCTGAAATCTGAAACAAAGACAAAGAAAGAAATCATTTAAAGGGATGAAAGCTGCATTTCAACAATCTTTAGTCTGCACTTTGTGTGTCATGCTGAGGTCAGAGAAGCAGCCTATACTTATCCCTGAGATGACAAATGAAGATTAAGTGAGAGTATTCACCTGGCAATTCCACTTGTGCTCTGAGCACA